CTGGCACCAAACATCATAATTTAAAAGTATTACCAGTGTCGCCTCTCAATAAGATCAGTAATAGTGACTGGCGCGAAATGCTTGTTAGCTAGCATAAGTCATATGACCAGTAAGAGTACATGGCATACGAGATGGTTAGCAGATATAAGGCCCCGAGTATGCAGGTTTCCCGATGTTCTGGCCACAGATGACAAGCAGAACCTGACTGAGTTACTGCAGGATTTATGAGAAGAAACTGGGAACCAGAATTACTCGTGCTACGTCACACAGTATACCACATATTTTTTGGTCACTTCTGTTGAAAGCAGAGTTTTTTTTACATAATTTAGGCTCAAAGTAGCTGTTAAGTCCGAAAACCGTATTCATGTCATCACAACCGATGACGAATAAGGTTTCCCCACGAAGCCGTTTGGTGTGCGTTCAAGATCAGTTCCCCTGTTCTTCATATTCTAGTAGGCGGTTGTCATTAGGCGAATGACCTGCAAGTTTGGATGCAAACAACACAACACCTAAATTCGGGGAGGAGATCCCAAGAGGGTCCACAGACTTTAGGCGTGGTGCTAGAGCAAATGGTTCGTAACGCCCCTGCTGGGGTCAATCAGAACAGAAAAATGAACAGTAGTCGTAAGTAGACACGGAAGCGATTAAAACGCCCCACAAGGATGAACAGAAAGAAAGAGACCTGAGTGCCAGTAAGATAATCGTCGCTTAACCCGTAGGACCTTGGTTTGACCCCCACTGTACTGGTATCACGGCCTGATAATGAGTCCAGTTGTATTGTGGAGCGGCCGTCCAGTTTCCGGGCTTTATTAGCCCCCAAATTATGCCGATCGGTAAGGAGCGAAGCTCCGAAGATTATGAGAACTTCAACCATCGACTGCAGTGTCAGCGTGGAGGGAACTCATCGAAGCAAACACAAGGAAAAATTATCAAGAAAAAGCTGGATTTTCTATAAATTATGTGCAGTCAAAACTAGGAACATACTTCTCGACAGAGCAGATGGCAATAATGGTCAAAACCAGTGCAAGCACAAAATCAATCGGAGATGTACATGAAACAGGCCAGAATTAGAGTCCCACGTACGAGAATCTAGAGAGATATGGTCAGTGAGAATCATAAAAGTTGCAGAAAAATAGTCCATCGAGTTGGCATGGGTGGATAGGTACTGAGGACTAAATTTGAGCACAACTTGTTGAGGTAGAAAGGCTGATGCAAGGGATAGAGTCACGCTTAAAATGTGCATCGTTAAGTGTTCGGAATCATGGAAGTACCTGGAGGGCAATCGCCTCATATTCCCTGTGGTTTTGAAGAGCTGACGGTTCTGTGGTCATTTTAACCTAGGCAAACTCAATCATGTTACTTTACCAAGGGTCAGTCAGCAGTAAGAAATGTTCATAACCAATATTCCTCTTCGCAAAGTATTTACACAGCTCAGTGTCCGTGGTCCCTTCGCCATCAGAGGCTACCTGATTAATTGTTCCGATGGGTCCAAGTGGATTCACTTTCGGAAGAGAATCCTTTGACTAGTTTAGGAGGTCACACAAGTTTGCGTCACCATCAAAAATGCTATTACGGGAGGCAGTAATGGCAAAATCTGTATGGCGGCATTCTTAAAAGGCTTCGGATTTCATTCATAATAGTAGCAGCTTGCTTCGAATGATTGTAGGAGCAAACCTTGGCTGAAACTAACCTCTGTTGGTCGAAATATCACACGATCCACAAGTTTACAACTAGCAAAAATAAAAAAGTGTCCTTCGGACTAGTGTCATGAATACCAAAACGTGGGATCTACCAACAATGAAAGTGATCAAGAAAGTGTCATAATAACAAACCGCAGAGCCGTCACGACTAGTGATAATGGCTGGAAAGGCGTTCAGGACGCCCACTCGATGCGTTCAAACAAAACTGTCACTTTACGACGACGGGATTGAAAGTGTAGATATTTGGCACTCAGTTGTAAGATTCAGCAAGATCATGAATCCTTAGATGTGAGCACAGATGAGATCCAGTCCTACAATAGCCAAAGAAATTTCATCATTATTCTTGAGTGAAACACGCATGATTCAGATTCAGATACATTGTTTTGGAGTGGGAGGCTGCGAGCCCATATTAATCCTTTTCCGGCAGATTTCTGTGCTTGCCTAATCTCCTTTTGAACGAGTCAGCTGATGGTGCGGACACCGCTTCTACTTGGAGTGGGTTCCAGGTGTTGATTACTTGATGCGAGAACCAGTACTCTGCGGGGACCATGTTCGTTCTTTGCTTTTGTGATTTTCTACCATGTCCTCTGAGGTGCTCCGACCTGGTAAGAGGGAAAGGGGAAGATAGATCAGGTCCGAAGTCATTTCCTAGAATCGTGTATAACATTGTTAGGTCTCACCTCTGTCTGCGATGGGACAAAGGGAAGAGGTTCGCCTAAGTCGGTCTTCATAGGTGAGGCCAGCCACCGCAGGGGTCATACCAGTGGCTGCCCTTTGAACTGTTTCTAGAAGGTCTGCATCACCCATCAGACAAAGATTTGCCACCCGTGCACGGTTTTCTAAATTAGACATAGCTAAGGATGCGTTCTACGTAGTGCTCAGAGAGTTCATTAACCTAAAACTGCTACCAGTCGACACTGAGTCATGGTTTTCAGGTGCTAACTCCCTGTGACCCCTAGTTCATTGAGGGTCAGTACTGACGGTAGAGGAGTCCAGCCATTATCGCGGGTGTTGCTCTGTGTGTGCCCCAAGTGCATGCTCACACATTTACATGCATCGATAGGCATCAGTCACTTTGCTGACCAGGTAAACAAGCTGTTCGCATCTGCCCGGAGCGAACACATATCCTCATCGTACCTGATTTCCTGCCGGATTTTTACATCATCAGCGTAGAGAACCGTAGGGGATTTCATAACATTTGGCAGCTCATTTACGTATAGGAGAAACAGAAGGCGGCCCATGACTGTGCCTTGTGGCACTCTACTGTCTACCGACTTCCAAGGGAAGACTTGAGAACCCATCCTTATTCTTTGTCTCCCACCAACAAAAAAGTCTCTTATCCATGCTAACAGGCTGTCAGTGATTCCAAAGCTTTCCAGTTTCCCGAGAAACGTGGAATCAGGTACCTTGCCGAACACCTTACTAGGGCATATGAAAATGACATCAACAGGCATCCGATCATCCTCAGGCCAAACCCAACTTTCTCTGACTGTAAGGGGGTTCTTTAAGCAAGAGAATTTTTGTGCCAAACCCATGCTGCGAACGAGACAATAGAGCGTTGCTGTCCAAGTGGACTTGAGTGCTGTTTCCGCGATTTTCACTACAGTACTGGCAAAACTTGTAGGTGCTGCCTAGAACCTACCTTGTTGATGGGTGTTACTATGGCATCCTTCCAGTCATAGAGGAGTGTGCCTTCACTAAGAGACAGTCCAAACATAGTAGTCAGTGGTGTGTCTACGTAGAGTGCAAGCTCTATGAGTAGCCTTGGGTGCAGCCCATCCAGTTCCGTCAGTTTTCCCACGTCGATATCGCTTAATATCAGAAATGCATCATTGCGGATGATATCCACAGAGTTTATTCCTTTGGATGTTAGTGCTTCTGCCGTTGGACAAGTGTCCATGGAAGACTTCTGTGTGAGGACCTCAGCAAAATATCCAGCCATAGCTTCTGCTTTTTCCCCATCGTCCTCAGTCAAACAGTCAGCTTCGGTCCCATCGATAAGGGTGGGTATACCACGTCACATCTTATTTCTATGGTTCATATGGGAAAATAACCTCTTCAGATGTTGCTGTGCAACCTGGGCAAGATATGTTTCAAAGCATTTCTGAAGCTGGCGGATGGCAGGTATGCATTTATTTCGGGCTTCTTTGTAGTGCTTCACTACTTCGGGTGTACCAAGGTGGGTGGCAAGAATCCGACACCTTTTCTTACGTCGTAACAAGTTTTGGGTTTCGTGGTTTATCCACGGGGGACGATGTTTCCGTTCCATCGGGACAGTCCACGGAATGAACGGTTGAGTCACCGGTGCATATAACTGTCTGAAGGAGCACCACGCACCTTCAACTGAAGCTTCTCGATTGACTGTCCAGTCCTGCAAAGAGGCTGCCAGGTTAATAGCCACCATACTCGCTTTCAATAAGTTGGGGTTAACCGAGGTATCGGTCTAGTACAAGACGTCTGCTGTGAATCTGAAGGTGATCACAGCATGGCCACTTTTACAAAGGGGTGCTAGGTGCCGCATACATCTCTATGTGAGAATACTAAGTCTAGAACTGTTGGAGTATGCTGATGACCATATCTGGTTGGTTACCTAATGTGCTGTATGAGGATTAAGGAAATTGATATTTCCACTAACCGGTGGTCGAACGAATTACGTGGTGTTTTTGTTGCTAAACTGTCTCAGTCAACTGATGGCGCGTCGAAGCCTCCTACAACTGGACATCGGCATGTATCTGTCCAGAGGGTCAGCTTCTTCAGGAAGAAGTCTGCTGCCCCACATTAAGGGCTTCGATATATTACGACTATGTTAGCATCTTGCCCCTTGCATTTTAGTTCGCAGCGCAGCATTTCAAATGTCTCACTTTCATGTGCAACTGTTTCTACGGCTTTTACAGTTGAGGTGCTTTTGACGTAAAGGATGAAACCGCCACCTTTGCGTGCTTACTTGTCACTTTCAAAAGGGACGAATCCTCGTGTGTCTCACAGTCACTGACCCAAGAAGACAGCAAAGTTTCTGAGACACCAACGATGTCAGGGCTTTTGCTGCCCATCACATTACTAAACTTAATCCACTTATTAAGAAGACCATGTACAACTGTGCACAAGATAACGAAACTACTTGAATGAGTGTCTGTCCTATCTATAGAAGCTCTGGCATCATTTGTTGGCGAACTGTCGATTATCCGTCTAATTAGGCAGGAGACTTGAACACTGCGTTCAGAAAAATAGGCTCTAAAGTTCAGAAACTGATGAACTGACATATCGCTCTGAAGAGTATTGGATGTTGATGAAGTAACTGGTACTACATTTGACAAATGCGTCACCTCCAGGGTAGGGACCTTGTTTTTACTAGGTTATATTGGGTATGATTTATGATTGCAAAAAAGCACTCAAATATGTAGTATTATATACGTCTTGCTGTTGTTAGAATTCTGCTATTGTATGGAGTTAGGCCCTGTGACAACTTTGTGTGTAACTGCAGAGATATTTTAGTTCCACCTTAGGATTTCGAAAATTTTGTGAAAATCATATTTTCCTGTTTCAATAGTCACGTATGTGTAAACGTGATTGCCTGCAAAAGTTTCAAGTATGGCCTAATTGATTGTCAGCAAGACCTAGGTGACTGCCTATCTATAGCTCTCGAAAGAAAGATGACATCAGTGATCCCAGTTAACCATACTTCGTGTATATAAACTGATCAGTTCACATAAAGTCAATCGACAGCTCATGAAATAGTTGGTCGATGATCTGATGGTATTCTGACCTGCTTTTTATTGTTCTCTTAGTAACAGTAGCTCTGTTACGTATGCAGGTATAGTGATTTATGATAGCATCACATATGATTAAATATTCAAAAACGAAATGCAGTGCAAAGTGTGAATTTGTGGAACTGCGGTAAAGCTAGGGTGTCTTTCTGTCCAGTCATCTTTTTGGGTCAATTTGATAAATTTAAGTGCAATCCAAGGCCGACCAAATTTAGACCCATCATTTGCTGTATAGAGACAACGTTTTAAACAAGGCAGTAACACATGAGGATGAAGCAAAGTGACCACAGGCTCCAATCAACTCAGCAACATTGAACAAGTAAATTGACTGGAAGGACAATAACGGTGAATAAAGCTTACTTTCTGCGCTCATATATCCATTCAAATGCCATTTACCAGTCTTGTATAGATAGGCGATCATTGGAAAATTTAGATTGCGTCCTTACTATGGTAATACTATGTTCCATTTACGTAAAGCAGTAAATTCTCAGTTGGCAACTTTAGACACCCTATGGAAGTTTCCGGAGGCAAGTTTTCGGCATACCACTCCCTGGAAATTTTTCTAGTTGAGGCTTAGAATCATAGTTAACTCGTGCTGGTACGGTGAGACTTCATTTCTAAGGCATTTATCATATAAGACTTATCTCCCTTGATTCCATTGTCTCAGTCGTTGTGTATAATAACTTAACAGAGGGACTACCCACAAAGCTTGAACAAACGTATATAATCAATAGATGGCTTAACATGCAACTTGTAATATGAAACCTGTATGAATAAATGCAAAAAGATCGTTTTAACTTTCTCATCCAAGCTGTATCAGTAAGTTATGTTGGGACTATCCCACGTAAACAAAGAGATTCATCCTTTCAAAGACTATTTTATCTTCCTTACGTTAAAAATACTTTTTCATCTTCAAAGTACGTTTCCAACTATGCAGTTCCTTTTAAATCGTCGTTCAAATCGCTACTGCTTGTTCGTCTTCGCCCTGTGGTATGTGCATCAAAAAGCCTACACGCACGAAGGAAAAAAATATATCATAAAAATTGTTCCGACTTTATCATTATTGCGTCAATTTCCTCCGGAAAATGGAGGTGAGAAAAATCTTGGTGAACATATTTGCTAGTTGAATACTAACATTCATCGTGATCGCTGTCCTTACCTATCACGCCAAGAAGCTGTGATCACAATCAAATTTCTGACCTATTTATCTTAACCTAACACTAGCCTGTGACCAACTGCTGGTATGTTATATTTCATAGGTACTGTTAGTCGTTCGTATGCATCACATACCCGACCGATAGCTGCTACCTTGAGGTGGTGGTCGGGCTTGCATATCACAATGACCCAACGAGCTATGCTGGTGGAACGCTTGTTCCCTCGAGGTCCTACCATACCAGAAAGGTCTGTTGGATAGTGGTTAGACAAAAAGCAGTTACCGTTATAGTGTAAATTGCTACACTATGATGGAGGTCTGAGGGTGAAGTTGTACTGCTGCTAGCTGGATGAGGTGTGACAGCAGTAAGGTGTTTCCCTTGGATGACCAGCAGCGCCATGCTGATACTGCCTTCTCAGTGGAAGGGGAGGTTAGAAAAGGTCGGCCCCAAAAATAACACACTCCACCATGCCCCACCGTTTGCCGGGCCGGCGGTGTTGGTTTACTTGTCGTTTCCTTTCGACCATCCGGCCCTAAAAATACAAAAGTTCAAAATAATCATACTCAAAAGGCTGGGTGTGACAGGCCTCAAGCAGATGTCCGGTGGGCTCTGCAGTCACACAAATCTCTTTCACGTACCTTAAGAAGAAATAGCCTTCCACGTTGTTGGCAGCCGGGAAGTGTCAACTGCCCTCACAACTGTCAGCATTCAAATTTCCTCAGACTGCTATCCACCTCCCCCCTCATTATCTCCTAATCTTCCTTCACGTCTCCCAGTTAACAATACTATATCATCTTTAATTTCTCCTAGTTCTTCAGCCTTTGACAAAAATCTGAGTTCACAGAACAGCATCCTTGGTCTCCTTAAACCACGCTCCAAATTACATATTGGAGCCTTCAATGTCCTCACCGTCCGTCAAATTGGTCAGCAGGCTTCGTTGGCAAAGACTCTAGCAACTCGGGTCATGGATGTGTGCTGTGTTTGTAAGACACGCATACAGGACCCAAGTGTGGTTATTCACCTGACCTCTCCCGGCCAATCTAGTGAGACCGCGAAATTCACCCTTCAAGTTTCTGGAGATTCGATGGCTAGCTCTCGTGGTCTTGCAGGTGTAGGCATAGCATTAAGCACTAGGGCAGAAAACTCACTACTAGACTGGATCCCAGTTGATAGTCACCTCTGCACTATGCGGCTGAACGACACGGTGAGAACTAAAAGGAATAGGAAGACTCGCCGTTGTCTTTTTGCAATCTATACTTACGCACCCACTGACTGCAATTCAAATGAAGTGAAGGACGAGTTCTACCGTAAACTGTCTAGTTTCCTCTTGAAAGCCAAACTTTCGGACGTGGTTGTTGTTGCTGGTGATTTCAACGCACAGGTGGGCAGACTGAGTGAGGCAGAAAGGTACTTTCGGAATCCCGGCTGAACGCACAGATAACGGTGATCGCCTACTACAACTGTGCTCAGATAACCGCCTGTTTTTAGCTAGCACAAATTTCAGACATAAAGAAAGACACTGTCTGACGTGGCGTCCACCGAGCTCAACTCAGCGATGGACACAGATAGACCACAATGCTATTAGTCATCGCTGGAGAGGGTCAGTGGAAGACTGCCGCTTCTTCTGGAGTACATGCTTGGATAGCGACCATGCGTTGATCCGAGCGCGTATATACCTGTGTCTCAATAGACGTAGGGAAAATTTGGCAACAAAACCACTACGAGTGCTGCTGGACAACGAAAACATCAAAGCCGTGTTCAGTGAGAAGTTGGCTAGGCAGTTATCGGAACAAAAGACTGTCACTCACCCAGAAGAGGCTTGGTGCCATCTCCAGTCTGCTGTAAAAGCAGAGCTGAAGACCGCAGCCGACTCCAAAATAGTGGCTAAAAAGAGCCAGTGGATATTAGCGGCTTCTTCCAAACTGTGTGCACGTGAACGCATCCCTGCAGGGTCTGAGTACAATGAAGAGCGAGCGCAACTTAAAAATAGATTGAGAAAAAGTCTACGCAACGATTGCGAACAGTGGTGGGCAGTGAAGGCTAAAGATATGGAAAAGGCAGCGACGATTGGTAACAGTAGACAGTTATTTAGACTTATTAAGGAGACTGGAGGGAAAAGGTCAACAACAGTTAGTGAGGCTATAGCGGGGAAGGACGCATCTGCGATTCACTCGCAGGGGAGACGACTGGGACGATGGGCAGAACACTCCGAGAACCAGTTTAGCTGGCCTCCAGCCACGATTGCGTTGCCCGCTATCCAGTCGGATCCTGAATGGAACATTGAGATAGGCCCCCCAACATTAGGAGATGTTGTGAAAGCGGTAGGTAACCTAAAACGAGGAAGGGCAGCAGAACCAGACAGGCTAACTCCTGAGGTATACAAGGATTGTGGTGGAGTGCTCTCATTCAGATTAACAGAGGTGTCAGCCAGTATGTGGGAATCAAATACGATCCCATGTGACTGGTCTAAATCACTGATTATTCCAGTCTTCAAGAAAGGCGGAAAGTCCTCTCGTGATAACCACAGAGGAATCAGCCTGGCTAACATAGTGTCTAAGATTCTAGGTTCTATAATTCTTCGACGCCTGAGTGGAGCTCGAGAAGACCAGGCAGGCAGGATTTAGACCCGGCCGCGGGTGTATCGACCAAATATTCACACTGCGCCAGGTTTTGGAACACACACGCTTACCGACGCCCAACACTAACTGTATTTCTCGACCTGAAGGTGGCATTCGACTCCATCGATCGAGAAGTCTTATGGCAATGTCTCTCACTGAAAGGGGCGCCGAGTAAGTACATCACCCTATTGAAGGCTCTCTGCTCGAACACTTGTGGGCGTGTTAGAGCCGATGGTGAGATGTCTAAGGAGCTATGCTCGTCGAGTTGTGTCCATCAAGGGTGCCCACTGTCTCCATTCTTATTCACTTTCATCATAGATATTCTTATCGAGGTCTCCCTCTTGTCACCTGGTTATTCAGAGGTTGACCTAATAACAGGAGAATTTTCGTTAGACCTAGAATATGCAGATGACATAGTTTTGTTAGGTGAAGACGCTGACAAGATGCAGAGTTTTCTGAACACTGAGTGGTAATTTGAGAATGTTTGAGGTGGTGAGAACACCACTCAAATGCAAATTGTCCCAGAATTGGTCTTCAACAGTGCCATGGCTAACAATAGAGAGTGTAGAGGTTGAGTGTGTCAACCACTTCACTTACCGCCTAGGAAGTAGGATCAGCCCTACCCTGATGGTTCAGTGGTCGATGAAATCTCTGCATGAATACAAAAGGCTCGGTTGGCTTTCGTCAGCTTATACCATGTGTGGCGCCTCCGTGATATCTGATTGTCTATTAGGGTCGCGTGTACTGCACAGCATTCCGGTCTGTTCTACTGTATGGCTGTGAAATATGACCATTGAAGATGAAAGACATGAGAAAGCCTCAAGTGTTTGACCACCGTTGCCTTCGAAGTATAAACCGTATTCCGTGGTGTCACCACGTGAGTAACTTAGAAGTCAGGCGTAGAGTTTTAGGGAGAAGAGGTAAGTCAGTTGACGAGGTTGTAAACCTTTATCGACTGAGATGGTTGGAACACGTGTTGCGTATGCCTAGTCACCGATTGCCTTGTCGCGCAATGTTGGCTGAAGTAGGTCCAGACTGGAAAAAGGCCCGAGGTGGCCAGACTAAAACATGGCACCAATGTATGAAGTTTTTGACCGTTTGTTTGGTCCATGTGGGGCAATGCAGACTGGGTGGTCGGGGTCCGCGGGACAAGATGAACCAATGGTTGGAGACTCTAGATGATATAGCTGAGATCCGATGTCAGTGGCTCAGATGTATACATACACTATCCTCATCTTAAGTACGCTATACCGAATCTCACCATTTTGTCATTCCTCTTTTCCTTCTCCTCGTACTTTATATTTCTTTTGACTGCATTCTCTTATCTTCATCCTTCACCCCTTTCATACCTTTCTACTTGATGTACCGATATGAGGAGTGGCAACTGGGACCGTTACGCAGTAATGCCTGGTTCTATGTTGATGTGGATGGATGCGTCACGTAATCTCCCATATGTACATCCTTGCCAGAGTGTTCAATTTAAGGTTCATTTCAGTGATGTAGAGAATAACATGACAATTCATAAACAAGGTTAATAAAATGTTTTGATACAACTAACCCGTATCTGGGTAATCCATCGCTGATTACTAAGTACTCAGAAGTAACATATGAGTAGGTGCTTTCTCTCCATTCTCGTATGACCCCCTACGACTTTGGTGCCATTTTCCTTCCCTCTGTCTTTCTTGTCTTTTATCTTGATATGCTGATGTTTTGTGACGACTGAAACCATAATACTATATTGTCAGGTCCCATATTGTTATCGATTGACTGAAATGCAAAAATTTCAAGTCTCTTATTTCACTAACAACCTAATGCGATCCATCTTAATTATTTACCACTGTTTCTAGGCGTTTCGGAGTGATCCTAATCCTTATTAGTGTATCATATGCGAAAAGTATAATCATGGGGACTTGTAAAAATATTGCAGAGAAGAGAGGGGATCTGTGGCTCAGTGGTTTAGAGAGATGGAAATCAACCTCTGGGTCATGAGTTCGAGCCTCACTCCACTTATGAGGGTTTGGGCAGCTGGGTAGTATCACTAATCCTCACACAATAGGTGTGGCTAATCGCCTACTGCATGGATATGCACAAGGTGATTGAGTGCGTTTTGCTTGTTCGTACATTTTCTTGTTAATTGAATCAATGAATTATGAGATATTTCATGAGTGAATGTAATAGTGTACCGTGATGGTAAAATGGTAAATTCAAAGAACCAGCATGTATTCCTAATACAATGTCTCCAAGCTATGCAGGCAAATTTTGTGATGTTAGTAGCTGTCGATTACTAAATCATTGAAAACTGGTTATCAGCAATAGGCATACCATTTTAATTAAAATATACGTATTTACGTGTCAAAATTCCGAGTTGCCAAGATAAAATTAAAGTATGGTTGAATTTAAGAAAATCATCTGCACAACATTTTTAACTGGTAAGAGCACACAGGTTTTCAATTTGCGATGTGTACGCTTAGTGATGTCGCTGACAGGCATCATCCCTTTTCAGTATTTTCACCTCATTTCTCTGCAAAATCTGTTGTGTTCACCTTTGAACAAGTCACTTATCTAGGAATAATAGCAGCCTGTGAGCAGTATACGTTTTTCTGACTCAGGATTGACTCTATGTTTACGAACTATCCTAACAGCAGCTCTGTTTATGAAATGCTGTTGTCTCTGCGTAGGTTCCGTATCTAGAGACTGGATCCTGGACCGGTTTGGCCATGTGGTCCTGGAAAATAATAGAGTGGGATATATCCTCGAACTTTCGTAATTTCAAGATTATCCTCGATTATATAATCACTTAGAAGGAATCTATTGTAGTAGTGACCAGTTACGTTTTATGTTTATAACTTATACATGTAGTTTCTAGCCCAATAATCAACAGGAAACATTGCTCAGTGATGTCTCGATTTTCCTCTACTAGCTTGAAGCAGTATAATGCAACTAGACCAGAAAACTAGTAGCAAAGAGAAAAACACTTTAGAACCAAATAATATGTTCATCTTTTAGCAGGTTAGGAAGTTGGTGTGATCCGTTTTGATCCGTGAACGTTTCTTACTCCAGACTTAGTAATTTAAGTACGATATGCTTCAATTCCCCTACTTCTTAATGTGGCAGTCTGTTAATTGTAGAACAGTGTGCAAGACCACAAAATCCGCTAAAATACTAGCTAGGGAAACATTTCTCACAGTAAACTTTCCACCTGTCTACTCTTCTACAAATAATCATCGTAACTGCCAAATTGACATGAATATCAGGCTCACATATCGCATTGTTCTGACTATTCGCAAGGATTATTACCTAGCTTTCAGTTAAGCCAGAAATGTCGACTAAACATTAGTGAGATTAAGATGCCACCCTCACAGAGTAAATGGCTTACGTTATGGAGGAAGCCTAAAGGAGAGTTCTCATATGTTTGCTGGTCTGTGACATGATAGTACCAGTTTATTTTATCTAGCTGACTAGCATTCGTACTATGCTGCCTTCGAACACTGAGAAAGTTCCTAAAAATGTTGGATGGTTATACGGATAAAATTCGGTACAAATGTGTTCTGTCTTCGTTTTCGTCAAGGTTTGGAACACTTAGATTTTCTTCTGTTTCTTCTCCCTCCTCTTGTTCTGTTTTACCTACTTTGATCTCATCACTTTTGTAACCCTGTCTTCTTTGCTTTCTGCTATGAGGTGTGGCAACGTGACCTTAAGCAATTTTGTGCAGGTTGTAAATGAATCTATCAGTCTAGTTGTGGCTGCACTTGACAATTCAAATAGAATTTATAGGAGGAGTTCTTTATGGTATCTTTTGTCGCCACTACTAGTGGCTTTTATGGTCTTATGGTTTAGTAATTTCATGCATGCCTTTTCTTATCTCAGTTTCTCTTAGAAAATTATTCATATTACAATTGCTTCCCCATCGTACATTTGAACATTATTCCTACTGTAAATATTCGTACATATGGACCAGTCGATCAAACTAAATCAGTCTTGTTCCCCATCACCGATGCAGAATAAACTAGTGAATGGAATTCAAACGAAGTCGAGTTATGAAGATTGTGATTATTGTCATATGCTTTGTAATACCCAAAAACTTAAGCTTAGTAAGTTTCGTTGAGAAAGCTTTGTTTTTAGTGTTGGCTTTTTTGATTCAAAATATACTGCCATTCATCACCATCTGAATTTAGAAACAGATGAAATAGGCGTATACACTGCTGACAATATTTCACTTGATATTTTCTTGCTTGTAACTGTTTGAGATTGCAGTTTATCATCTAGTAGGAACGTCGAATTTCGGAACTACGGTAGAACTTGATCTCTATTTTAATTCGTTTACAAAATATATATTACACACACACACACACACACACACACACACACACACACACACACACACACACACACACACACACACACACACACACACACACACACACACACACACACACACACACACACACACACACACAGGGGACTTTAACGCTCGAGTAGGAAAGCTGAGCCGTTTGGAAAGGCATCTGGGAGGTATCTACAGTATCATGTGCCAACGAACCGACAAAATTGATTGTCTGTTGCAATCTTGTTCTGGCGATCACTCGTTTCTGATTAGCACCAGTGCTAAGCATAAGGAGAAACAGTGTCTCACATGGAATCCGCCGACACGAAACCGGTGGTGGCTATGTGCAGATAATATCACTGTTAGCCATCGTTGGATAGGATCGGTGAAGGACTGTCGCTCTTTCTGGAGTACCTGTCTGGACTCCCATCTCATGTTAGTACGGGTAGGGGTATGTATGCGGTTTGTTTGCCTCGTGAACCAGACAGCGGTGACAGTTCTATATGTTCGACTGGAAGAGGAGAAAGTCATGTATTTAGCTAGGAGATGGCTCAGTATTTACCTGAACATGGCAGCTATTCACTTCCTGGGGAAGTCAGATGCGATATACAGTTTGTCATGGAAACAGCAATACAGATAGTCGGTAACCTACATCCGAAGGTTATCAAAAGCCGTTGGATTTTCAAAGCCCAATCCGAACTGATTAATATAAAGAGACTTCTTTCAGCTGGCTTCGACCACCATGAGATGTGAAAGCAAAGCAAGCGTAAATTGACTAAGAGTCTTCACAGTGATCGTGAGTAGCGGTGTGTGGCGAAAAGGAGAGGGATGGAGAAAGCATCGGTGTTGGGTGGTACCCGGTAATTGTTTAGACTTATTCAGCATGCTAGCAAAGAGACAGTGGTGGGTGAGACGATTATTGAAAAGGGAGGGACTCTGTTAATTTCTCAGGATAAACGGGTAGAACGTTGGATGGAATACTTTGAAACAGTTCAACTGATCCACATCAACGCTTCAGTTGCTTATCAGTTTACCACCTGAAGTTTGTAGAATAGAGGGAGGAGATTGCTGATTAGAGTGACAGAGGTAATAAGTAGTGTATAGGAACCAGAGGTAGTGTTACCAGACTGGTATACTTCATTAATCATTCCAGTCCGTAGGAAAGGAGAGACGTCTTGTGACACCCATAAAGCTGATCAGTGCCTACAAGATCCTTGGGTCCATAGTCATCCGATGCGTAGCTAGAGCTCAATAGCATCAAACTCTTGAAAGATAGGTGGGTTTCTGATCCGAACGGGAGTTTATCGATCAAATCTCCACCCTTCGTCAAGTTCTGGTACACAGGCGTACTTTTCGGTGGCCTAAACTGGAGGTGGCATTTGACTCAGTCGGCCGTGAGGTGTTTTGGGTGTGTCTGACTGTGAAGGGAGTACTAAGCAAGTATATAAGGCTTATCGAAGTTCTCTACTCGAATTCACGCAACCTTGTGAGGTCTTATGGAGAGTTACCATGTAAACTGATAACAACTAGTGGTGTCAGGCGGGGATTTCCAGTCACCGTTCTTGTTTAATTTCGTTATAAATGTACTATTACATTGATTTTATCGATCTACATTGGTATTAACCATTACCTGATATGGTTTAAGTAGCGAATATGTGGTCAATGATTTTTCCGTATATAATTATATATATATTATATATTATGCTTCACTAGCTAACTAGTTGTATGAAGATAAGTGAAAGGTGTTTTTTAAATCGATACAACATTATACACCGTACTATTCAAATGATTTATTGAAATAACTGGTCACAAAAACTACATATCTGATATCGCATTACGTAATTCCTATAAATGTTATATACTGATCATCATCTGGTCACTGTAGTTTTTCGGGTTCGATACGAAATATAGTATATTAAAAAGTCCAGCGTGAGACATTTTATGAGGTTATTTGATAGTTCCAATAAATTTTTCATGTTGTTTATCAAATAAAGTTTACCTACAAAGGTATTACAACGAAAATGCTGAGGTATTATGGAAATAATCAAAGAAATGAAAATAATATGGGGAAAATCCTTCATGATTTTGTTTAGGTACATGCGTCATTCATACCTGATAGCCATCGGATTCGCTGAATGTTTCAACTTTCAACACTAGTCATATCCTTGTTGCTACTTTTTATATTCTTGTGGTGACTACTTGATATATATATATATATATATATATATATATATATATATATATATATATAATAGGTGCTTGTAAAGTAGCCTTCAGATTTCACCCCTTAATGATCGCTACGTTTCTCAACAACGGGAAAAGGCGGCAAGATAACAGGTGTATTGCAACATCAAAATATATACAAAACACAACGGTTTATCTATGTTTACAATGACCTTGACTATTTCTGGGCTTTTCTAGGTCAGAATATCCTATTGGTTTTCGCCCTTTTAACCAGTCTGGTATTTACACGCTGGTTCACATTCATTTTTTCAAAACTTCGAAGCGTAACGATTGGTTGTAAAGATTTCAGAGATATACGGCTTCTTATGAAGATTTTATCAATTTCGCTGCACACTATAACACATCTGATAGCTATCAGATTCTCCGAGTCTTTAAACGTATAGTCTATAACTGACATCATCCTAGTTATATAATAGATATATGTTTATGATCCTGTTGTGACTATCTTTTTTCTGTGTACTGTTAGAGTTTTCCCTAAGCTGTGAACTAGGTACTTATGGCGTTACGTATAGACCCTGAGTTTAATACTATGACTGGCTATCATCGTTCAATAGCAAAAGCCCAACAGTAATTATAACTTTTTGTTGTCAAACATTGTTACTTCATCGATACTAATTGTTTAAAGAAATAAAGCATGTCCAAGTCACATGAACATTTTAATGGTGTTCGTGTCAACTTTTAAACTTATTAGGTTATGAGTGAAGAACTTTTTCCGTAACACTTGTTGACCTTCCTTTACTTTAAATCTAATCGGTTAACAACACTGGAAAAAGAAATTTTGATGACATGATCTTTAATTCTGAGATTGTACTCTGATGGATCAAAATTCATTTATTAAAAAAATGGATTGACTTTAACCTGTAGATAAATTGTAGATTTACTACTACCATAAAATAGTACTTCAGCTCAGTAAATGTCAACACATCATCTTGATTTATAAACTTTTGTTCTTAGTATTCAATAACTAGAATTAACTAGAGATATTCAACCTAAAATTTATAAAATATCTATTGATCAATGTTGTGTTGAAGCTTTCAAACATTGGTCTAATACATAATTTGATTTGTTCATTGTTATATTATTTGACGGCAAGTTGAGGCAATCAGCGATGTAATAGATGGATTATGCTTGTTTGTGAATGGATGTATTATTCAGATGCCTTCCCCATTTGGTATTATGATCAAAGCTTTTTTTTCCGAAGGAAAGTAATAAAGTAGTTTTCTGGGGGGTAGTGGTGCGGAGTAATACTGCTCAAAGTATTTATATGTCTTAATGACCAGTAAGATATTCAATGAATTTTATTAGAGAATGTTTTATGAAAAAATGATATTTTAGTTTTTTTGTTCCCTTCAATTGATAACATGTAGCTTAATTCTAAACGATTATAAGGAATATTTAGTGACGTGGGTTCGAATCTCAGGCGGGACATCAGTTCCATAGAGGTTGAAGATACGCCTTGCCGACGAGTGCGAACAAGCATGAAACCTAGGTCTAAGGCTTCCTTCCAATTGCCTCCATCCAACTAATAGTCTTCAGATCTCTTTATTGTGTGGAGGTTTGATTCGTTGGTCTCACCATTCAATTTTCAACCAATGGATCCCAATTCCTAACTCAGACCCTTTTCCCCACTTTGATCTGACCATCCGGATTACATCATCAGTCATCATACTATGAATGTGGCTCATAGACTAGTGCATAAACATATGCATCAGGTTGAGTTGCATCGTGATAGTACTTTTATATATTTTGGCTAAATTCGCTTTTCTTCAGTGTTAGTCATTTCAAACTACTTATACTTCATGCTATCTGACTTCAGCATAGTTTTCAATTAGTCTTTTTCTTGGTTAAATTTTGTTATATTTCCACTGTTGAATGGAATTGACCAGTATGTTTTGACATATGTAGCCTCTTAAGCAAAATATGTTTTTTATACTTGTGTTTTTCAATAGTTCTTCATATAGTCACAGAAACTGAATAATTCGGACTAATAAATTGTCAACAATCATGTTTCACAAGAAGTAGGTATCATTAGTCATTTGTTTAGTTGATAACTCTTGAGTTTAAAACGACAAAGGATAGGTTGGGGTATCACTCATAGAACAGTGGAATGCACATCACCACTTAGCATAACTATCTTCTGTCAGCTTTTCATATAAATAACTAATTGATTTTATCAGTGATAGTGAATAATATTTGTTTTTATCAATTTAGGTCTTTTATTGATCAATTCAATCTTCAACGGTTTCTAAAACAACATATTCAGACATAACGATAAAATACTATTGAAAACATATGAATCTTTGTAAAAACTACTCTCCAGATGTTTGTATCATCTCGTACTTTAAATGTTCAATGAGGAAAATTGACTTGTTATGTTTCCTTGTAATTTTTCATGTTGTAGGTCATCTTTATGATTCACGTACTGAACTGTCTATCATTGTGTAACGCTCACTAGGCTATTCCACATACTTTATGATGATAATGGTGGTGTTATGTTTGAATTCAACCTTCAAGAAGATAGATTTCATGAAAACATCCTTTGCAGTTTAACCTTCCTCTCACTCATATGCTCGGATATCCATTTTTAACAATTAGGCTATAAATAATAACACACTCTCCCTGTACAAAACCATTGGTATTTTTCACGATGTGTTAAACATTTCATTATCTTGGAGAGGTACGATACTGAGGAAATGAGTGTACCCATCTGTCAATATTGGTTTTCTATTTATGCCTTATTAGATGTGATCCCACTTAAACCTCTTATCAGTGGGACATGTAAAGTTAAAATACTGCCATTTCACTCTCTCAGTATGGTGAACATGACTGTCGAATGAAGGTGAATAAATCTTTCAAGAATAATACCCATATGCGCTTCATTTTTAAGAACTATAAAGATGTTATCCATGGTTTAGATCAACACTAACTTTACTTGTCTTGATGTTCTCGTTATTATAGGTGTTCCGAACATCTTCCTTACGTTATTTTCTTTACATAAATGCGTATATACTCAACTTTTTCTAATCATTGTCAATATTGATTGGTATGCAACAAGATAGGGAGTTTATTGAGAAATACTTTATTCTTCTACTATTACTGAAATGCGGAAATTCCCATTTGGACAATTAAAAAACAAACAAATGAAAATTTTCTCTTAACTGGAATCTTCTGAGCACCTCATTGCTTTGAAGGTCTTCAGTGAGTATCTGAAGTATAGCGCCAAGGCTCATTGAAGCTATGACTTGAGTGAATTTGATTTATGCTTACTGAAATGATATTAGTTAACACCTAGTAGGATGGTTATCCTGCATCGAAGTTATTCAGTTAATGAAACCAACTTGATATCAGCACTTATTACATGGTTCTTAGACCGCAGTTATGAATCATCTTTTCGTATACACATCCGTTTATCTGAATCTACTTAGCTAGTTATTCTTGAATAGACTGGAATTTCAGAAAGTAATTCTAGTGATGAAAAACATTTCACTTAGCACTTGATAATTGACTCTATGCGGTACTATATGGATTTCGTTCAATCTCATAACTGAACTCACTAATCTAGCCAATAAGAAACTAATAGTTTATAACAGTATCACTAAGAGGGCGATAATTAATCACGGGAATTAGGACTGTAGTGTTATTAGTTTACCTATGAGCCGTATAATAATAATGAATAATTGTGTGAGGCAGTCAGTTATTGATACCAAATTTGCAGAAATAATAAGAAATGAATAGATAACAGGAGACGATTATCCTTACATAGTTTAGTAATGCTTGATCATGTTTTGTGGACTGCTGGAATAAAAATGAGCTGTTCAAACTGCTTTAACTACAGAGGTTTATTTTACTCAAATGAATTCTGATAGCTTGTTTTGTATTTAAAAGATATACATCAAAAGTAAGAGTAAAGGGAATATAATAATTAATTTTAAACAACTTGTTTACACCAATTCAAAGCTCAGTGTCTACCAGATGTTGGGGTATGAGGTTTATTATTGCTCTTATTAACCTCTTACTTTAACCACGATGGATAATACTCGGAAATGCGATAGTGAACTTGCCTATTCGTGCATCCAACGTAATTGGCTATATATACACACAATCAAACTGGGAGGTAGATACATCCAGCTGACGAGTCCCGAATAGAACGAAATGTGCATCCTGAATTTCATTGGTAGCCGCTATCCATCATTACTAAACTATCAAACTGTTGGAACCGAATAAGTGAGGAAATTTTAGACCATCTTTTTTCGTCTAGTGAACTCAATATTGGTCGATTGAGAAATAAGCTGCCATTACTTTTCTGCAATGAATGTTTTTTTTCCCAGTCATAATTCCATCAAAAGCATTAACATGAAACTGTGATTTCAGAAAGTAGGAGCTATCTATACGTTTGTTTGCATGTTTAGTAGAGACTTTACTGGGTATAAACAGATAAAAAAAACAGTGTGGAGCTACTCATTGAAAATTTCGTCTATGCAGATAACTGTAAATGGACATTGTGCTAAATTTCATTTGTATTACATAGGTCTGGAACTTCGAAAATAAATATACTGTCCAGCTGATGTTTGTTTGCCTGTTTTCGTCATCGTTAGGACATCTAAGAATGTAGTTTGATGATATCATTTCATTCTCGGTGATATAAGCAACTGCTGGATGAACGCTGTTATGATTCGTCCAGTAAGGTCATTTTTATTACTCGAACTTATTAAATTCTTCATTCATATAACGATAGTAAGTTCCTTACCCCAGCAGTTACATATTTCAGAGAGCTACTCTCTTATTTCTCTCAAAAAAGTCCTCTAGGATTAGATTCACTAGTGAATTTTTAGCAAAACTGTTAGGTTGGCTATAGAACTGAGAGTGTACATTCATTGTAAGTCTTGAAAGAAGCACTTTCAAAGGAGATAAAACAAAGTTCTGTTTCCACTCTATCCTTTATCAATTCATTACATGTATCCATTAGTGACCCACTAAAAGTCTGAAGAGTTATTACTGACCTCTTAAAATCACTTGGTCCATCAATGAAATTGAAACTACATCTCATATTACGCTTTGCATCTTCTTTGTGATGTATTTGGAAAGGACTTGGTAGCCATTTAGCAGTAATGGGTTATGGCGAGTTTGATGCACCGAAAACTGATAAATATGATTCACTTTGATCTTCCTTTCTAGCTTAAGTGGCAGTTAGATCATGTTTAGCCACTGCGTGCGTATCTTATTGCATTATATATAGTGCGATTAAGTTACGTTATGAGAAACAATAAATTGGTATCGACTCATGAACTACCTGTCCACTATTTACCTTCATCGACTGAGATAACCGGGACATCTGTTATGTATGCCTAGTCACCGTTTGCCTAGTCGCACAATGTCGGACAAAGTAGGTTCAAACTGGAAAAAGACTCGGAGCGGTCAGAATAAAACATAGCATCAGTGCATGAAGTCCTTGACCGTTCGTTTGATCTATGTGGGACGATGCAGACTAGCCGGTTTGGGTCCGGCGAAAAAGAAAAATCAGTGGTTGGAGACTATAGGTGATATGGTTCGGAACCGACGTCACTGACGCAGATGTTTGCACACATTATCCTCATCTTAACCACTATGCTTAATCCCATCATTTTCTCATTCTTCCTTCTCTTTTACCACTTTCTACTTCTACTGTCTTTGACCAGTTTCTCTTTCTTTATCTTCCATTTTATTGCCTTTTACTCGATGTGCTGATATGAGGTGCGGCAACTTAGACCGCCAATCAGTAATGCGTGGTCCTACGTTGATCCTGGTGATGATGATGTCCATTACTTGGCCCTATCATTTATTCACTATAACATTAATTTTAGTCTTTTTCCCTCGTTGATCCCCTACCACTATATATTTTGTAAGTTAAGTGTGAAAGCCTTTACGCCATCTGCTGAATTACTGATGCCACGCTCCATCTAATATATCCTTTACTAGTCAACAAATCGGATGTTTCACTAGAATACCACAATGGAAGCTTTTCCTCCTGAAGGTCTGAATGTCATAGTTTCGAGTCTTATGGGATTGTGATAACTGACCAAAAGTTACTAGGTTTCTTCTTTTAATTCTAGCCAATAAGTAGTCGTAAACTTGTTATCTGTTGCTACGTCAGATTATTTTCAATCTTCTTCTTCCTGTTTGTTTTATTATGAACAGATGCTGCTCCACTGAATCCTATCAGAGACACACCATCAATGAGAGGTTCATTAAATACGGTTGAAAATCGACAGAATGTTTCTGGACCACTCTGTCGACAAATAACCTCTTCTATAACACCGTCAAATCCATTAATGTCACATTATAAATCTGTTGGTTTACAGTTAACCTCCAGTAATCATATTGTATCAATGCTATCAGTTTCCAAACCATTACCTGTTCAACAAAACTCATCATCAATATTATCATCTAATTCATTATCTTCACCAATTCAACATAATTCACTAGTAAAAGCATTATCATCATCGATGTCTTCAGTATTATCATCGCCATCAACCATTTGTACATCGATGCCATTTTCCAATCATATCTATCCTTCATACTATTCTTCTTTTTCACATAGTGTAAAACCTATCTCAAGTGTTAAACCTTACTCAACTTCTAATCATACACATTCAGAGTTATCTGATATGCATGATCAAAAGTGTAAATCATTTCATCAAGTAATTGATCGATTAAATTTGCCTACTACATCAAGTATCATGAATTCGTCTGGTGAAGGTTGTGCTTATCATTCAATACCAATAAATCTATCTACTAATAGCTTATTATGCCAAAGAAAAACATTCCAAATCCCGTGTTCAAGTGTTTTTGATTTTTCGCCTCCAAAAGCTGCAAATATCACAAGCAATAATAATGATTATTTGTCTATCAATTCCCATTCAAATAATATTCAACTCCCATTGTCTGGTTTAAATACTTCTTCATCATCATCATCACCATCATCGTCCTTATTCGCTTCCAAGACTACACCTATAACAACACAATACTCTACTGTGTCTTCCATTCAAATGATCGATAGTGATAATAATGATAGTAATAATGATGATGGCATTACTGACAATTTAAGTTCACCGAATGGTTTCAAAAGTTGTTTGATTGATAGTACAATATGTAATTTAAATGTTAGCAAAAAGTGTGGTAGTCCTGTTTCCTCTTCGTCAAAAGTCGAGAATTTATCTACATCGCTTGTTTCAAATTGTTCAACTGATGAAGAACAAGTAAGGCAGTTTATTCCGTCTTCCTTATCTAAAAATGACGTGTTAATACAGGTTTTCGTCTTTTTAAAAGATACCGATTGATGTCTGCTACCCTGATATCGTGGGGGTCAGGTTTGCGTATCACAATGATCCTACGAGCTATTTTGACAGAAACGATTGCTTCTTTAGATCCTACCGTGACACAAGGGTCTGTTGAATAGTGTTAGGACAAAAAGGGCAGTTACTATCATAGTGCTAATAGTCTATGGCGTTGTTGGAGTGCGAGGTTGAAGTCGTACTGATGACTGAACGAAATGTAACAGTAGTAAGGTATTTCCAGTGGGTGACCAGCAGTTCATGCTGATCCTGCCTTCTTTGTGGAAAGGGAAGGTTATCGAAGTTCGATCCAATAAAAGTATACTCCCTCTCTTGTGGTATTATGGAGCTGGTGGTATGGATTTTTCTTGTCCAGCTGTGGCACAATCAAATCTCAATGCAAAAGTATAGGGAAATCTGTAATCAACCTTAAGCAGATATCCCTTGGTTTCTGTGATTGTGCATCACATCTTTCGGGTACATTACAGCCATAAATTTCACTGTGTGGAAAACCGAGAAGCATAAATTGCGCACACGCTTTCATCAGCATACGTAATCCAGCTGAATGTAACGAACCTAAATGAATTCTGATCAATATCTGACCGAATAGTTTTACAAATACTGAGTGCCTACCTTACCTGTGTCGCCTCCTTCTCCCTTATATCCTGATATCAAAATTAGACTTCCTATCGCTTCCTCAACCTCTTACTCTGTACCCATTGATAGCGTTTCCAATCAGCAAAACACTTTCTCGTTCCCCAAAGTGTTAGATATCTTTGATATAATTGGAATTTAGTCATCCAATTGTATCATGAGGTCACTGAAGTAAAGTTACTTGACATAGTAGTGTACTTTTTGCCCTTTATTTGGATGATGGTAGACAAATGTAAAGAAGCCTTGCTTATCAGTACTTATCAGTAAGGCGTATTTTCAACACTACAGTAATTTTATTAAATTCGAATGTCAAGACTGATATTCTTTATTTCTTCTGTCTGAAGTGTTACCATTGAGTTATTGATGAAAGAGTGCTAGAACTCAAATATAAATGATGCTAATTATCATTTCCACTATCTGAAATAATCGTGGTTTGGCATACTAGTATATATACTGGAAGATAATTGAAGGTGAAATGAAAATTTGGGCTGCGACTGGATTCGAATCAGTGACTACTGAGTTTCTGACCCGATACTCTACCAACTGAGCTATGAGGTCCGAGGCCGCGGTCCAAATTTTCATTTCATCTTCAATCATCAACCATTATGAATAATATTAATCAAGTAATCCACTCCTAATTGTAGGTGCTACAGTGACGCTTGTCATTTTAGTTCATCTCTTGCCAAAAATATAGATGGAAACGAATTTAGATTGAAAGTAATTATTCTCATGATATGAAAACTATGCAGTCTTTTTTTGTACTGTTAACTGTTCTGAGATGCAAGATTTCAGGTGTATTTTTTCAAGGATAATCAATATTTTCCATATATTGAAAGTGATTAGAAAATTCTTATTGTATAAATAATATATTGTTTGCTGCTTCACAGAGTTGTTTTCCTTTTAAACAAAGTTTCCAACGAAGTCAAATGCCATACGTCCATTATTGTTCTGATTTTGTGCTATAAACCTGAACACTAAATATCCCAAGAGTAGATCTCCCTACTGACACCTAATTTATTTTGCGTTTGTTTTTTTTACACCTTATTCCATACTGTTTCTCATATTTAACTGTCTCTTCAATTTTTCAGTCACAAGGTCTTCCACGTTTCAACTTACGCTATGCTAATGTTCTCCATTATCCCAAATATTCAAATCGTAGGAATTCAGGCTTTGAAAGACGGCTTAAGTAAGTTAATGATTTATGTTTCATTTTGTATCATACATAGTGTACAATGCTTTGTTGATTATTATCAGTAGTATTGTCATTTTGCTTCAATAATAACAATAGAGTTGTATGGGTTTGTGTAAATATCTGAGTCTTGTCACAAATATAAATAGTTTGTTTAACTTTAGCCAATTTACACCATCTGTGGCATAGGTTAGTCAGATACCCGAATGTGCGTATTAACTAGTTGAGTGCATTGTGTAGCAAGACTATTATAGATGATGGCTGAAGATTTAAGTTTACAGGTATCTGATCAGCATTACCTTAGAAGCTTTTCTCCCATATGTTGAAACTTTCGAGTTATCGACAGCGAGGTTTACTGCACACGATTAGGTAAAGAAAGTAAATTAGACGACAATATTGTGAACCTGGATTGACTGAAGTGGCTGTAATATATATAATGTATCTGTGACTGTCAACTACCTCAATACACTGTTTTAGCTTCAATAAAAGTGGAATGTGAAAAGTCTTCACACTAGGATATGTATCCGTCTGTGAGATATTTGACTTATACATGTAGCTACTGGCAACAGTTAGCTACTTTAGATGTTATCATTATAAAATAGATTTAAAGTGACCGAGTGGGTAATTATTATTTGTCCCTTGGGTTCCTAGTGAAACATAGGGCTTCAGTAGCATGTCTCATTGCACTATGTTCTCTGCAGTCTTTTGAACTTGGCGCCACGACTGTCCACAAGCTTTCATTTCTTCCTCACATGGTCTCCTCCGTGTCACCCTCGGACACCCAACTCGTCGTTTTCCTACCTGGGTTCCACTCGAGGGACTGGTCTGGCGCGTGATGTCCCCAGTCGGCCTTCTCAGTTTACGCCCAATCCAATTCGTCTCCAGTTTCTCCTGCATATTTGTCGGGCGATAGGTTCTTGGTTGGTTGGTTGGTTGCCAGGCCAGAGTGAGTTCCCTGTTGCGTACTTTTATTATTCTGACAATCCATCTGATCTTCAGTATCTGGCGAGCGTAGGTGGCAGCTGTTGATGTGATGAATGTCTGTAGTTTGTTGGAAGTGATTTTCGTGACACGCCAAGTTTCTGAACCATATAGCAGCACTGACTTGACTGACATTGTTGTTGAAAATCTGGGTGTTGTTCTTTGTGCTGAGTGCATTAGATCTCCACACTGATTTCATATTATTGAAAACCTGTCTTGCTTTTCCGATCGTGGTTTTGACATCCTTGTCTGTGCCGTCTGTAGTTGAAACGATGCTGCCTTGCCTAGGTAGATGGAAGAGACTACTTTCTTTAAGTTTCTCCCGTTCATGGTGATTGCTGCTTGTTGTTGGTTGAGTATCTTCATCACCTGAAGGAAGTCCCGTCTTCACTGCCTCGCCTCTCCTGTCAACTTGTTGGTTTTTGCCTGTAGATCTTCGGGTTTCCTCACAGTTTGTTGCATGATCCAGTCGACCAAAGTCCTGAAGATCATCGGTGATAGCAGGTGGCAACTTTGCCTTACTCCTATCTTCACTTCAAAAGCATCACTGAGTTTTCCATTGTGAATCACTTGGCATGTGGCATCTTCATATCAGTGTAAAGTAGATTTAAAGTGACCGAGAGGGTAATAATAAATACACAAAAGATGATAACGGGATGAGACACTTGAACTAGGTAGTGACTGTTCTCCTTCAGAACCTTACACTTCACTGAGCCGCGAAAGTCAAAGGGCGAAGGTAATTACTTAAGCTACCTTTGGAAAGCTAATACGATACTTATGCACCCATACCGCCAACTGACGGCAATTTCAGTAGCCCGTTTTGTTGCACAGTAAAATAGTGTAGTCTGCATTCTCAAAACAGGAAAGCATTTCTTCTGACAGCAGATCTATGCCACCACCACCCAATTCTTTCAGAGTTGTCTAGCGACTGTTGTTGATGCGAAAGCTAAAGAGATGTAGCGTAATTTGTCAACGCTTTCTAACCTTGCTATTGGTTTGGAACAAATGACAAGAAGCAACAACAATATCAACATAGAACCAGGCATTACTGCGTAACGGTCCTAACTGCCACACCTCATATCAGTACATCAAGTAAAAAGGCAGTGAAGTGCAAGATGATAAGAAAATTCGATCAAAAGAAATATAAAGTACGAAAAAAGAAAAAGGAAGAATGAGAAAATGGTGTGATTCGGTATAGCGTTAAAGTGAGGATAATGTGTGTATACATCTGCACCACTGACATCGGTTTTGAGCCATATCACCTAGAGTCTCCAACCACTGGTTCCTCTTGTCCCGCGGACCCCAACCGGCTAGTCTGCATCGCCCCACATGGCTCAAACCAACAGTCAGAGACTTCATGGAACAAATGAGCAAGGCAGTTGTATACCTATATTCTGCCTAATGGGTTTTTATAGAATTTCGGGGATGCTAATAGTCTTTCTATGGAAATTCTTTTTTGCAGATAGTTGCAGAATGTGTTTCTATTCATCAAATGTGAGGTCGCCCTGTTACCAGAAAACTCATCGGTTGTTGTGTGTTGATGCTCATGATGGTGGTCAAGCAACTAAGAACGTCTGAGTAGTTTGTCAGTGCATCTATAAACTAAACGAAATCTTATACCCACAAATCAGTCTTTCACATATTTTCCGAAGACCATGGAGTATGTATGATCAGTCAGTAACGTAAATATCCTAATGATTACTTCATGTATTACCCTGGTCCCTTTTAAAGATGGGTACAATGTTGACTTGGTTCTATAGTTAATGAAAGACTCTGATCGTTCTATACCTCTTAGAACAGTCAACTCAACAATCTAACTTCAATCTTATGTGAATCCTCAAAAAAGTAAATTATCTTAGTTGATGTTTCAGTAATTAGGGTTTCTTGCCTTCCGCTCCTTCCTTAGGTAGACTGATCTTAACGGACCACGAAGCAAAAGTTACTGTGCTTAGTGAAACACTCCAACAAGCGTTAGAAGTCATGCAGATCGAGGCAGATGATCGTGTTAAAGGATTACTTCCTGTGTTTTGGACTTAAGATCTAATCCACAAGCTGTAAACAGTTTCTTTCGATTTTTTTACGAAGGATAAAACTGATGATAATGTTAGAAAATCTTGAGAAATAACGATACATGTACTCAGGATACCAAACCTACATGCACACATACAGAAGCTTCTATTTCCTACTACTACTTTCCTTTCGTTCGATATCTCTGTTTAGTGAATTAACATCCAGCGTCTTCTTTCAATCAGTTTTTTTGTAATCATCATAGTGGCTGTAACGCTAAAGTGCATATTTATATTTTCTTAATTTACAATTATGTAAACCAATAAAGTTCTTTTAAGAAGTTTATCGGACAGTTTCGTCTACTGTGATGTGAAGGATTTTACTTGCTAGTATTGCTTTGGCTGTTTTCAACTATCTTATCTTATGAAATTGTGAAACGGATGCCAACTGAAGACCTTGGATGATAGTTGCGCTATATTGTGAATTGACAGAAGTGAGAAAATGTGGACCATTGAATTACGACCCAGTGGCTGAATAGTAAACCCGTTCGCCATGAAATCTGAAGGTCTTGAGTTCGATCCCTAGCCGAGTCGTGGAAGCTCACTGCTAAGTAGACCCATACTACGACAAAAAAGCTGTCCAGTGCTTTCAGGTTTTCAATTATTCTTCAGCTGATGTCAGTGCTTAATAAATGCTACCTCAATATTAAGTTTGGCTGTGGTCCATTTTTTAAGACTTTCAACCGATTAGTCAGGATTTTAAACCCTCAAACCTTCTACCGAGATCTACGTAGCCAAGTTGTATCAATAATGCTCACACAATAGATGTGATTCATTGTCTGCTTCACGAATGTACATGTAATCGCTTGATGCATTTCAGTTTCAAATAGGTTATCTCACGTGCTTAGGGGTCAAATGCAGTCCCTTGCCAATAAATCAACAGTATTTTCCTAAATAGTTTCATTGTTCATACAAGCCTAGTTTCAATCTCAAAGAGTATAAAATTTCGGTTGATGAGTGCTTGTGATTAATGACAGCGTATGCAATTTCTTCTTCCTATCTATCATTTCTTTTTATTACCCTGCTGTTCATGTATAGTTATTCTGATTCTTTTTATCCATTTTCATTTGCTAACTTGCTTTGTTAAACAGAAAAGAGGGACTGGACAAAATGTAGATTGTATATAACGACTAACCAATTCACTGCTCATAAGCTTGACATTTCTTACTCGTGCATACCTCTAGAGAAAAAGCTAGATATTTCAGTGTTTTTAATTTTGTGTAAAATTAACGATATTATACTTTCGTCCTATATTTGTATAATAAATGTTTGGCACATTGTTTCAAGGCATAGATATATTTTTGTGTTATATTTCATCATATGATTTGGACATATATGAAGGTAACTAAACGACTTATACTTTGATAAAAGGTATGCAAACTGTGACTGACTGCAGAGATGTCTCTACAGCATACTAACAAAGCCTAGTATTTTCTATCATCAAATGGCCTTGTTTAAACGATTTAGAAATGTAATTCAGACAATGTTTATTTTTAGCCTGATTAATCGTGTAACTTAACCTTACGTCACAATTTTTACATATTAATCATTGCCTTAGTCTTTCTAAATTATATGCATTCATTTTATTGTCAGTGGTTTTTGGTGTTTCCTGATCGCCTACACACTGATACACATATTGCATTCTACTTTTTACTCTATCCCATGTTTTATCTAGGTAAGTAGACGTATGCTTAGTCCAGAAAAAAAAGCATGAATGACCTTGAGATGGTTTCATTTACCACGCATTTAGTTATCAGTTCTCTGAAACGACATAATGAATGACAGTGTCGCTACACCCACGCAGTTTCGTTAGTAAAAGAGACATGTTTCAGGTTGCAGAGCTCACTACTTTCATACTTTGCTGTATGAAATGGTAACGATCAAGGTATAACGACAAAATCAATGGACGTGTCTACGATGATTCGTTTACGAAGCTTAGTTTTAGTTCTG